CACTCCAGTCTGGGCGACAGAGTGAGACTCCAACTCAAAAAAAAAAATTTAAAAAAAAGAAAAAGAGAACCTAACTCCCCCCAGAAAAATCTAACCTTAAATTAACTCACCAGAATCTATTTATTCTGAAACTAAGGCAATTATTATTTGAATCACAAGCTAGTCTGTCGGTCTCTCTCATCTCCACTTCCTTTCTCCCTCCTTCTTGCTCTCTCTCTCTCTGTATATCACTTACTTTCTCTAATTTCAACCTCTTATGTTTTACATTATAATTTTTCATGATGTATATATACATTTTCGTACTAGTAATGAACATTTACATTTTTACCATCAACGAATAACACTTGGTGCATATCTGTTTGACTTACTCCTTGCAGGAAAAAAATGACAAAAATGAGATCAATCTCATTTAATTTCCCGTTTCAGTCAATGACTCCACCTTTTTATTTCAGTAAATTTTCATTCCATCTAATACTCTGACCATATTCAGTTTCCCAGTTAATCACAGAATTGTTCAATATAATCATTTATTCAAACCACTATCCAGTCTATGATTAATGCATGACATCCAGGTGTTATGACTCTTCCATTTTTTTTTAACCTAGCAGAGGCATTTTTAAAAAATGATACAGATTTGTAGAAGAGATTTTTGAAGTATTTAGAAATCATAAATTTATCTTAATAAATCAACAACTTTTAAGTTGAACTTCCCCAAAATTATGCAATTTTATTTTTATTTTATAATTGATTTTAGCCATTTAAATATCATCAAAATTCTAAGTGAAACAAGTTAGTCCTGTACATAATAAAACCCACTTTACTCCACCTAAAATGAGTGAGACAATAGTCTCCCTACATTTAAAAACAAAAAACCTTTTGGCATCCTGTGATACTGTTTTGCTAGTGAATCACACACCCTTAGCAGAGATGAGACTTGCCTCAGCTCTTTCTCAACTATTACCCTCTCTTCTTCAGGTGAAGGTCATAGCTGGGATGGTCTCAGTGCACCGGATAACCTTCTCTAAGCATGAGGGCTGCAATGGATCAACAGAGATGGGAACTCACCATATACTGCGATGGTCTTCGTGTCTTGTAGGATGGCATTCCCAGCTGAGACCTGCACTGTGATGGTATTCATTCCTTCCGAAGTAAACCTGAAGGATATGCTTCCCTCCAAGGTGATCAAAGGCTAAAATAGACAAGAGCAGAGTGGAAGGAAAGCTGGTTCGTCACAATTTAGACAGACACTAGCTCTGAGTCAACAATAAGCTGTTTAAGTCAGCAGAGGCGCTACCTGGTGCCACCTGTGCCTCCCCATCATCTCAAGTCCAGGCCAGAGAGAAGGCTGTTGGAGCAATGACTCCAAGTGACTGCCCATTCCTTCTGAATATGGCACCTCTCTCTTAGTATCATCCTGATTCAGGACTAGCGAGATAGACAGATCTTGCTTGATGGTGGGATATATGTCTCTCTTTATGCATAACCTACTTATAACCAACAGATTCCTAATCTAAGGAAGCATTCAAATCAAATGAGAACAGAGGACTCATATTAATCCAGATTGTGGCAGCAATCATTGAAAATCTGAGGACTAAACTTGTCCTTTTTCTCCTGCTCTTATCCAAATTCCTAACTAAAAGTCTTTGGAAATCACAGCCCGATAAGGACTCACAAAACACAGTTTTGTTCTCTACTACCCTATATTCTATAGTTTACTTTCCAATCTGACTCTGGCATAATACAACATAACAAATAAAGAAGGTTTATGGCCCTACAAAGCCATCTCTAACAGATTCTCAGACTTTGGGAAACCTTGAAATACTTATCTATACTCCCTCAATTCTGCCACATATAGGGCTTCATCTACAACTCAAAAAACCTGGAGTTTTCCACACCCTTGTCTTACCAAAGCATCTCTTCTACTGATTGCCCAAATTTCTTAGATAGGAACTGAAAAATTACCGGTCAGGAAATTTTTGAATCTGCCTATGACCTATAAGCCTCCGTGTGGAATTGTCCCACCTTCCTGGGCCAAATCCATGAAAATATCACATGTATTGATTCATGGTTTCTTGTAACTTCTGCCTTCCTAAAGTGTGTATAAGCAAGCCACTGTTTGGTTACAGTGGGCACACGTTTTCAGGACCTCCTGAGGATGGGTGTACCTGGCCTTAAGTCCCCAAGTTTGGCTCAAGAATAAACCATCTTAAATGTTTTACAGAATTTGGCATCTTTTAATCAACAAATCTATAAACTGCCAGGTGTTCATCCCCAGGGTGTACTACATATACTAATTATAAATATATAATTATCATAGAACACAAATCCTGTACACCAAAACTACACTTGTTCAACAGGCATGGCCTTGTGTTTTGACTTCCTCTGAGAAACCCTATCAGCAGTTTCCTGGAAGTAGCTGTTGTGGAGCAAGTACTAATTGGATAGTGGTTTGAGGATTCAAAACAAAACAAAACAAAACAAAACAAGAAGTGGAACGGTGCCTGTAATACAATCGAACGCTGAGATCCTGGAGGAAAAAAAATATTAGCCTATTGACCTCCCTTGACTCACGCTTCCCAAACATTTATTTTCCATCTTTTCTTAATTAATTTCAAAATCAAAATTCATTTAACTTCCTGTTTAGCAGAGGGAAGGCTAAAGCCCAGCATAAGAATTCTTTTCAATGGAGTCTGTAGAGGATTGGTTTTCTTTATAAAGGAAAACAAAACAAAACAAACAAATAAAAACACAATAGGAGGTACAAAAGAAAGTTTTCGTACTTTCACCTTCTAGCACCTAGTTTTCAGGAAAGTAACACAGATTTCTTCTTTCCACTGTGAATAGTAGGGCAAACACAGTTGAATTTACATGCATAGTTTCAGATGAAATAAAAAAGCTCTTTTTTCCCACTTTGTTATGTTAGTAGTAGAGTTGTGAGGTTCTTTCTTTGTTATGTTAGTAGTAGAGTTGTGAGGTTCTGTCAGGTTTGGAGCAGGTCTAGGTTCAGGGGAGGCTTCCTCCTGGGCCTGTGCAAAATTATGTCTCCAGTTAAAGACAAATTTCAGCTCTAGAGTAGAAAAATGTTTTGATTAAAATAAGATGCATTATATTTGAAGAACAAAGTTGCCAAGTGAAAGCAACTTTGCTGGAAGAAGAACTAGCTTTCTAATCCAGAGCAGTTCATCTCAAAGCCTTCTGGGGCCTTAGCCCTCCTGCCTAACTTACATTCAGAAGCATTTTAATTTTTGAGAATGGAATGAGTTCGAAACTGAAACAGACCACACAGCCTGATGCAGAGCAAAGGAAAATTAATGGAAGCATCAGAGGACTTATATTTGGCCTCTTCAGAAGCAGCTGGAAGAGATGGAAGCAAGCCACCCCAGCTGCAATGTTCTCACTTTTCTCAGGTGCAAAATGAAGGACTTAGAGTAAATGAGGTGTCTACTGGTTTTTAAGTTGCCACTGACTTTTGAGCATGGGGAATTTGGGGGGAAGACATAAAGGATAAAGCTGAACTAAAGAAATAGCCATTTCTGATCTAGGGTGAGGAGGCCATTTCGGTGATGGGTTGTAATGGGAATCTGTCGCTTTTGCCTGTCCAGCATCCTTTTGCCTCTTTTTCCTTTTGCTTGCCACATCTTCCCTTTTGTTGCTCATGTGGTTCCAAGGAGGCTGACTTCCTTACCTTCCTCTCCACCCTTAGTACTGTGATCAAGGCCTGACCAATAAGATTAAACTTGAGGACTTTTGTTAGAACTTATGGGAAATAGAGTTTAATTTCTCTGCTAAGCTAGGGCTGCTAAGTGTCACTGCAAAAACAAGTCCAGTTGGAGAAAAACACCAACAAAGAGGAATGCAGAGAGGAAATACAGGAGGTGAAGAGGGGGAAGAGAGAGAATAGACTGGTGAGATATTTGAGCACCAAGAGAGCTTATCCCCGAAGCTAGGACTATCTCTACACTATTGAGTTCATAAGCCATTTCATTCCCTGTTTGGCTTCAGCCAGTGTGAGCTGCGCTTCTGTCACTAGACCCCATGTGGAAGGTGGACCCACCTCGGTGTTGTTTCCGTACCACCACACGTAAGTAAGAGTGCCCACTTGGCTGGGCCACAGCACGGCCGTCGCGTTGACCTCTTTGTTCTTTGTGGTGACAAAAGGAAGAGACAGGTGCACGTGCTCCAGGGGACCTGAGGCACAAAAGAAAGAGGGGCCATAGAGAAGGAAGAGTTTCACCTGCTCTGCCTTCTCTGCTCTGAAGAGAATGCATATTTATTCTTGAAGGTTCCAAAACATGGTAACCATATTTTCTGGAAGTACTCAGGCACTTGCCCTACTTTGAAGAAAAGGATATATTGTGAACAATCGGATCACATTTTCCATTTAACGATCTTTCTATCAATCCTAAAATCTGAGTTACGCATGTGTAAAAGTTAACACGAATTATAGATAATTTATCAAGTCCTTAAGTAGCAAGTATAAGTTTTCACCAGGTGAGGCAAAGTCTATCCAAGAGGTTATATCCTTGATGGTCAACCAGGATTATGAAGACCTCATAGAATCCGTGTTGGGGGTGGGGCAGACAAATCCAAAAACCAGTCTACATGTGATTGTGCTTTATTATTTATTGAGTTTTAAAAATCGGTGTATGTGTTAATGTGTTTGTGCATGTGCCTGTATGTGTGTGTACGTAAAGCCACCTGGCTAGGTAAGCATCGAATAAGCCTTGTTTGGTATTGAGTTAAGCTAGTCTGAGACAGAGGTGTGAGTGAGTGGACAGAGAGCTTTGTGGTTTTCAGGGGATGCTCACCTAAAATATGATTCTACCGATGGAGGCCCATAAAAACCAGAAACCTCAGTCAGATGTATAAACTCCACAAAGATACGAATGCCACTTCATAAAGAAGCACGATGTACCCAATCTTCTCTGTGTCACTATTCCCAGGAAAAATGCAGCTGCCTCTGCATTTTCCATCCCCACTTTGCTTCCATACCACTTTGGAGAGTGGTACCTCAAGGCTTTCCACTTGGTTTAATTACTGCCTCCTCTGCTTGCCTTTTAAATTAATTCCTGAGGTCCTGTGTTGGGTCTTTTCTCCCTCAACATATTCTTTCACTGGGAAATACAATCCACACCCTGACCTCCAAATGTCAAATGCATGTGTAGGGCCAAAAACTCTTTTCTGGGCTCTAGAATTTTTCTGGAGGGTTCCAGACTTATTTGGCTTCAACAGCCAAATATTTATTTAAAAACTCCACTATTTTCCACATCCCATATTTTCTATAGGTGATTAGCACTAGTATCCATTCAGAGGCCCACTGCATAAGCAGAAAATGAATCTAGATCTCTTATTTTTTGCATTGACATCCATTTAGGACATCATTGACTTGGTCTTATAAATGTCTCTAAGACATTTTTTTTTCGAGTCATTCTCACCATCCCCAGTTTGATGCCCTGGTTCATACACTGAGCAACTTTCTCACCTCTCTTACAGTATTTTCTGCTTCTGATCCCACTCTAATCCATCCTTCAAATGGTTGCAAGAGTTATGTTTCTGGAAAGCCAAGCTGATTAAGTTACTCATACTCCACACAATTAAGATTCCCATTATCTAATTATAATAATAGATAAAATGTATTAATTTAAAACTTGTGAGACAGAAGACAGAGGATGCAAATTTCTTGAAAATAAGAATCTTCCATATTTTGTCTTTATAGACAAAAACTAGCACAGTTCCTAAGACAGCAGATACTCAAATATTCACTGGATAAATGAGTACATAATATAATTTCCTATCTCTGTTTTTGTTCATGATACTCTCTTTATAGAATTAAGAGTTTTATGATTGGCAAGCTGAAAAAAATGGATTTTCCAGCTTATAAGGAATATGCTGAGAAGCATTTGATCATAAGTCAGGATAGTTCAGTGAAATAATAAAAGGGTTATATTTAATGAGTGATGACTAAGGCTACATTTCTCATTTAATGCTCACAACCACCATATGACGTAGGCACTAATATTCTCCCCATTTGCAGATGAACAAATGCAGGAGGGCAACTTTCCCAATGCCATGCAACTAGGGAACATCAATTCTAGGCAGTGAACTGAAGCAGTTTGATTTCAGATGCCTTTCTGTGGCCAGAAAGCAAATGCTCAGTAGAACCTTTCCACTCCCATTTTTTAAAAAAATAGCTGCCGGGCTCGGTGGCTCAGGGAGGCTGAGGTGAGTGGGTTGCCTGAGCCTGCGGGTTCGAGCCTCGCCTGGGTAGCGAGACCTCATCTCTACAATAAATCAAAAAATTAGCTGGGCGTGGTAGCGCATGTCTGTAATTCCAGTTACTTGGAAGGCTGAGGCGGAAGGATCGCCGGAGCCCAGCAGGTCGAGGCTGTGGTGGCCAGAAGCGGCCACTGCACTCCAGTCTGGGTGACAGAGTAAGACTCCAACTCAAATAAAATAAAATAAAATAACTATAAAGAGTCATTATCTTCTGATCACATAAGTATATTTTAGGCATTGGGAAATGCACTTTATACCTGTTCTTGGTTGCATGGTTTATGCATTCCCCTGCCCCATGTTTTGCTCCAGCATGTCATGCCCTGGCCTGCCCCTGGGTCTTTGCTTATACACCTTTTTTATGGCGCCTGTCAGTCTTTGAGTCTCAATACCAGCATCCCCTCCTCTATGAAGCACTCCCTGACTCTACTGATCTGAGTTAAATGGATCAGCTAGAATATAAGAACTAGATGTGCTATGCCAGAAATGCTAGTTTAATTCTAAAGAGGGTCATTTTCTTTGCTTCTTTCACATAGGCACATTTTTTAAAAAGTCAATATCAGAGTAAGGACAATGCCTATTATGTCATTGTCTCAATGTAAAAGTTAAATCTTGTGAGTAAATGATGGTCATTCATTCACTCAATCGTTTTTGAGTGCTACTATGTGTTGGGTATTATTCTAGGTACTGGAGACACCAGGTAGGTGGTGAAGCTTGGATATTATTGAGGGAGTAAGGCATTGAGCACATAAAGCAGGGGTAGGTCACAGAGGGCTATTTTTGATAGGGTGGTCAAAGAAGAAATGAGATTTGAGCAGTAACCTGAATGGAGTGAAAAATTTCACCAAATATCTATTAGGAATGATCCACAATGAGGGTAGGCAAATGCAAAGGCCTTGAGGAAGAGGTAGGCCTGCCGTGTTTAATGAATAGTAAGAAAGCCCCAGTGATAGCTGTGAAGAGATGGAGGGAAAGAGAGGAGCCAGTGACGTCTAAGAGGTACTCAGGAAACATGGCATGTTGGCCTTGTAGGCCCTGAAATATGCACATGTGTGTTTGTATAAGTTCATGTTTGCATACATATACATTGTACATGCATACTGCTTGAAATTTATCTCAGATCCCTACAGACTCTGGCATTCAATTACTTATCGTGGATTTAAAATACCTGGTTCCTGCTGCCAAAAAGCTTATTCTTTAAACATCTCTGGTTTGCACGGAGGGTGCAGTCTGCCCTAATGGAGTCATAGAAGTGAAATTCCCGCCCCTGGAACACCCCCCTCCCCCCCCGCCTCTGGTTGGAGCTGAACTTGCAGGCCTATGCTGCTCCGTCAGACAGGTGCCTGCGATGCACAAAAGGGACAGCAGGTGGCGCTGCATCACTCCATATGAATCTTTCGAGCAAGGTGGTTTGAGAGTATCGGGATATTATGTGAATTGCGTTTCCCTTCACTTTTCTTGTTTAGTCCTCCTGTGCGACAGGAAACAGCTGACGCTGTGAAACTGAACTGTGTGTGTGTGTGTGTGTGTGTGTGTGTGTGTGTGTGTGTGTGTGTGTGTGTCTGGCCTGCTTCTTGCATTTATTTTCTGGAAATCTCTGACCACCTATCAAATATCATATATATAGGATATTGCTGTTCGTCTGAGATGCTTAGAAAAGCCACTAAAAGAAATAAAGTTGAGAACCTAAAACAGAATTTCTCAAACTTTAGTATACATAAGAACCATACGAATCTGTTCAGAGCAGATTATAATGCCACACTTCCGGGAATCCTAATTCAGTTGTTCTGGGATAGGGGCCAGAACATTAATTTTTTTATGATTTAATTCTGAGTCAGGTGGTTCATTAAACTGCATTTTACAAATATCCTAGTCTGACCAATACAATGATAATATGAATAGTCAAAAGGCTACATGGATTTTCAAGCTACACGGATAATTTTACCCTAAGATGGGGCCAGACAGACATCTGCACTGGCTCCTATGTAAAGGAGTAGTTAAGGAGAGGGATTTAGAAAGGACCTGAACATCCACCTCATCTTTTTCCACCTCTCATTCTGCAAGTGTGCAGTCTTCACTGATTTTTCTTCTGTAAGACTTGCTGTGGTAGGGCAGCTTTCTGCATAGAAATGTACATGCCCTCTAAATTCTCTGTCCCATCCAGCTGAATTACGTGGATAACACTGGCTGCAGCACGTGTCTCATTAATCTGCAAACTAGTAGGGCACAGTGAATACCATCGCTAAGGAATTTTGACAGTCAGGCTACAACTGATGACCAAGGCGCCCAGAGAGCTGCTGGCCCACTCCTGGAAGCACTAAGCAAGAACATTGGCTCCATTTGTTTCTGACGACCTTTGTAGGCCCATATTTATAAAACAATCCTCTGGTACGAAATCAAATCACCTTCCTGCAGAATGTGTATGTGGGGAGAATGTGTATGTAAGACAGACAATGGACTTTCTGGAAGAACTCCAGGAGGTAGGGGAGGGGAGGAGCAGAGGGCAGAGTTGCTGCTAATTCAGTCTCAGAATCCACCAAGTCCAAATGCATATGCTACTTTGTGATAATGGAAAAATCAAGTTTTACGAGTTGCCAGGGTACTGCATATTTTGCTTGGTGGGACCTTTGGGAACAAGATACACATGTATTTGACAAAGGAGAAAATCTAGGCTTAGAGGGTTAGAGTAGCTTCCCCAGGAGATGGAGCCAGGATCTGGATCTAATTAAAATATCTGACTCAGTCCAGTGTTTTTTATTTTTCCTGCAAAGCCACCTCTCCCCCTCCTTCAACCATATCATGGTGCTTTGGCACCAAAAGTTACTCATGACATCCTCCACGTTTAGGATGTCTGAAAGTATGACTCCATTATGCTCTTGTTCTGATTTTCTTAGTGTAAAATGGTGCCAAAGTCACAGGGCTTCTTCAATCCTTGATTTTTTCATCTAAAAGACAAGGCCAGATGTTGTCTATTATGGCAGAGATGTGAATATAAGCAAAATGAATTTGTGTGCATAGTAAAGCACCACTGGTTCTTTAGGAGGGAGGCGCTGAGCAAACATGTCAGAACTTCCTGAAACTCTTAAGATGTTGGTTTTAGATGTATGTGAGTTAACAAACAGCTTAGAACACAACTCTACTTTTTGCACAATTGGTATGAAAGAGTTGATTCTCATCCCAAGGCCATGTTTAGAAAGGGGCTCCATTATATCATCTGTGTTTATCCAACCACTTAACCCAAGTGACTCCACAAAATTAAAATCAGAACACAAAGCATTCCATTACAAATCATCTTCCACTAGTTACAAATCATCTTCCACTAAGGTTAAGGCCAAATATTTTGCCCAATCAACTAGGCTAATGGAATGAAAAAAATGCAAATGAATAAAGACACTGGTTTCTTTTAAAAGTCACAATTTCAGTAGTCCTTAATCTTGAGCAGAAACAATCTCTATGCTGCTTTTCTACCTGGAATTAATTAAACCAGGGTGGGGCTTGGGAGCGGTAGACCCCTCAGTAAATACACATTAGAATGAGGATGAGTCCACAGGGTGACAAGGAGGTGAAGCTATAAAAGACTCAAGGGGGGAACCTAGAAAATTGAGACTAGAAGCTACTATTGACTTTTAAACCAGTATATACATGTGACTGGAATATGGTAAATGTATAACAAATATGGAGATCCAAAACACAATTATTACAATCCCTAAAGAGGGTAGCTCTCTAGCCAAAATACTACTTATAGAGTAAGCTGTGGGAAATGATAGAATGCTACGTAGGCAGTAGTAGTGCTCAGCAAAGGATCTGTCGTTTGTGTTACAAATTATTTTTGCTAATTACCATTTGTGATGTATTGCTAACAATTTTAAGATTATCATTCTTATGATACCATCACTTACATTCCCCTAAATACTATGCAAAAAGATGTATTATGTCTTAGTAAGAGGCAACTCCTCAGGGTGTATATAGGACAGCTGAGGGGTGGCAGTCAGATGGAAGGAACCTATGTAATGTGTCTTGAACCTATGTAGTTATATAGCAAGTACATCTCTGTTAACGTAATGTTCTTGTTTCTTCAAGGTGATCTGCGAAGAATTCGGGGGTGGGAATGGGAGCAGTGGTAAAAGGTGATGGAAACTTATTTCCTCCAACCCCAAGTCATCCTCAGCACTGACACTAACCTTGATCACCATATCAAGAGCTGGGATTCTTGGGACAGGAGTCTGAAGCTTGGCGCTGCTAGGTAGTAGGACTGCCACTTCACACATTACTTAAGCTCTCTGAACCTCAGCACTCTTTGTAAATAGGGTTTTTAACAGAACCTACTTCACAGGATTGTTTTGAGAAATGAGATGATACACATAGAAAGCTTATTTAGTGCAGAGCCTGGCACACACATGAGAGCTTAATAAACTGCAGCCAAAAAGGAGCAGAATGAGTTGACATACTGGAAATCGTGTATAACTTTGTTTAGACCCGAAGGAGGGAGTGTATGTTTCTTTGATGCACTTTGGTCATGAGTATACAAGAGATAGAGAACAAGAATTACTGATATAAGAACAATGTGAAGCAATCCAGAGTCCAATATTATTCAGCAAATATTTTGGTCATCCTTAGAATCTTGCTCCATCACTGGACCACAGCAGCTAACAGACAAAAGATTCTAAGCACTCTTTGTGTTGTCATGTGCTCCCTACCCTTCTTCTTCCCTCCCTCCCCTAAAAAATAAAAATAAAAACCTCATGATGCTAAAAAAATAAAAGTAAAGGTTCTAGTTGGTACTTTCTGTACTCAATTTTACTCCATGGGCAAGGGCAGAGGAGAGCCATGGAATAATGTCTGGCCTTAATGCTCTTGGCCTGGAACTTGAAATTTGAACACAGCTGTTTCTATAAAAGAGCTACTTTCATTTTAAAGTAAACTATTTTTCTAGTGACCTAAATAAGTCTTATGATTGTTAGGGGGCATCCTTATACTTAACATGTTTATCACACACAATCTTGCTAAATGTGATTTTCAAGTTATTTTTGTCCCATTTTATTTACTCACATCTTCAGATTTCTCAATGGAGGAAAAACTTTAGCGTTCCTTGGAATTGTTTCCTACGGTAGCTTCTTAAGAGTTATTTACCCTCTTGCCCTCTACACCACCTTCTTTCTAACACCAAATCTTCCACAGATAAAAGCCTGGGAAACACATTTTTTTTTTAAAAAGGAACAAAAGTCTAGAATAATTATTAATAGCAAGACATACATGGGAAGACAGAAAAAAATCAGATGAGGGAGAAATTCCTTTGCTTGTGCTAATTCTTAGTGTATTAGGCTGAGTGGCACATATGGATTATTTTCAATACTTTATGCCTTAAAGTACAAGACAATCTTGTATGTTTCAAACAAATAGCTCTGCAAGTTGCTCAGGTCCAGCCCCCAGACATAGTGTTGTACCTCTGAGGCTCCCTGAGGAGGTTTAGTAAGTACAATAAGAACAATGTGAAGCAATCCAGAGTCCAATATTATTTCAGTTCCACTCTTTGAGTTTCTTCTTACTTCCCACCCCTTTTCTCTCTTACTTTCTTACTTCCCATTCCCCCTCTACTAAAGGATAACTAGGGAGCTTCTTCTAAATATGAAATTTTTGATTAGATTTTAAAGGGACAATATTTAAGATATGTCATAAACCAACAACAGTAATAACATACAAGTTACATGTAAGTACAGGACTGCGCTGTCAGAACCCAGACTGTTGTCCACCTGCACGGTCACTCGGAAAATGCCCACATTCTGATAGACATGTTTGATCCCATCTTCCATGGAGCTGAGGTTGACATAAGACACTGCTATACCATCACCAAAGTCCACTTGGATGAGTGTCCGCTGAACGTCACCCTGAAAATCAGAGGGGAGGGAGTCAGTGTGTGGTGTTCCAGCCTAGAGGACTGTGACTTGCCCTAGGTAACTTGGCTCAGGCATGATGGCAGCCCTGGCTTCTTTCTAGGACTGGGAGCCTCTGTCTGATTTTGTCAGAATCTCTGTGGCATTCCCTGGCAGGCGAGAGTTTGTTAAGATGGATACTCTCCAAATTTGAAGGACATCAACTACCAAAAGTTTCAAGGGTTTGAAAATTAATAGTGCTTGATTATTGGCTCCAATTTGATATTTAATTCCTCTGAATAAAATTCAGAGGAATTCCTTTGTTAGGAGTCTTTTTGTCCACAAGGATAAAAGGTATACACCCACAGTTTTAGAAATTTAGCATACCTGATATGATCATGGATCACTTCCTGTGTCTTTGAGACCCCTGTATCCCTTTTTCATTTCTGGTTCCCTAACAGTGTTGTAGGAGTGTTGAAAGACACCTTGCCTGACATTTGGTATCACACTGGACTCAGCCCTATTATTATTTAAGATAATAATGGTTTGTTCTTTTATGCTTCCGTGTTTTGAACTATCAAAATAATCTCATTTTATGCTTCATAGAATCCTAGTCTGAAGAGAACAGCAGGCAACGTTCATTCCCTTTATTGATGAAAAAGCTGAAGTCAAGAAAGATTTCATTACTTGTTCAAGATTACCACAGCTAGTTAGAGGTACTCCTGGGACTCTAATCTACCCCTCTGGTCTTCCAGTTCATTCATTATAGAGGGAATATAGCATGTGGGCATAGAAGACTCCCCCAGGGTTTAATTCTTATGTGCCATTAACAAACTGGATGACTTCTTCCAAGTCATTCAGCCTCCTTCCATCCTAGTTACTGAATCTATAAAATGGGCATAATAATACCTTACTATCTCAACTCAAGGGTTTTTATTTTTAAAAGATTAATTACGTTTTAATTAGTAATCTATAAAATATCGCATACAAAAAAAGACTCTAAAAACAATGTATCTGTAAAAGAATTATAATATTCACTTAAAGCTTTTAGGAATCATATGATTCTAAATTACCCATGGGAAGGCAGGAAAACATAATTTATGCATTATAAAATATCAGACCTGTTTAAAAGAAATGGCCTTTGGAATGATCATTTCCATATTTAAGAATCAAAGTTGCTTAGACCTAATTGACAAAAACCAGCCTCTTTCACACACAGCCCATGTTTTAACAAGTTTTGTTGTTGTTGTTGTTGTTGTTGCTAGCCTTTCCCAAATTCGAGGAGTGGGGGCAGACAAAAAAACCTTTGAACTAGAAATGTGTTTTCGATTAAGTATGGTTCATATGGTATCATATTTTTTGAAAAGGCCAAGTTTAAAATGCTGACATTTAAAAGATTAATTCACAGGGAAAGGAAAGGCGGCTCAAATCCCATGAATTGAAGTGACCTACTCCTCTGCTCTATGCCCAGTCAAGCATTGCGTGGGGGGAGTGGAGCAGCCAACTCTCAGTAAGTACTTTGGTAAAAATTACCCCCTAGGGTGGGAAAAGAAATCCTATTCAAAACACAAAACAAATATCCACAGCCCCAGACATTGTATACTTACTTCATTTCCCTTCACTAATAAATATAAATATCAACCATACTTGATGACTTGTCCTTCATTTGGACAGCCAAAGTGGACTGATCAATTTCTTATTGTGTTTCTGGTTGACTTCAATTCCCAGGTATCCTGGGTTTTCAACAAAAGTTGCTGAGAAGCCAACCCGAGGTGTGGGCAGTCCACTTTTTGAAACAAGTATCTGAGGGAAATATCAAGGGTAGCTGGGGTTATTCATGGAATAAAACAAGGAATATAGTTTCCACTAGAGACAGGGAGGGAGTGAGGGAAGAGGGAAAGACGGGTTTAAGGTACTTTGTGGGGAGCATAGTGAACATCAGACAAGGACCACTATTTGCAAAAGGACAAAGCACAGATTCATGCCTTTGGCTAATTCTATTTTAGGCTCCACTGAGAAAAGCAGACACTCACACAAATGGGAAGAGTACAACTCTTGCCACCATTGCTTGAATCTATTTTGCCTTGCCTTTTCGGTCTGGCATTTATCACTTTCTTTTGTTGGCCTAGACTGGGACCTCTTGTTAGTTACATAAGACCCCTCCCAATTTCTGTTTGTCTGGATGTCTATTGTCTGCATATGCTGGTATTTTGGTCTGATAGCATTTTTAATTCTTCACTCATGAAAATGTCCTCTGTGAATTTAATAGATGAAAAGAGGGAGCTACTCAGGTTTGGACTAGTGCATCAGTAAGGCTTTCATTACAGAGTCAGGCGTTTAGGATAATATATACATACATACATACATATATATATATATATATATATATAGCACTTTAATTAAATAATGATACAAATAAACAAAAAAAAATATTACAGGGGTAACACATTGGATATGAAGGAAAGGTACATGGTATTTTAAGCTTTTACAATAGGAAAAGCTGGAGAGCTGATCTGATTGGGAACTTCTAGGAAGGCTTCCAAGAGAAAGTGATGTGTGAGCTGAGAAGACCTGAAAGAAGAGAATAAATTAACCAGTTGGAAAAAATGAGTGAGGGAGGGAGAGGTGAGGGAGTGTAGGCAATGGGAACAGAAGAAACAGATGAATCAGTGAGAGAAGGGAGATGGTACAGTTGAAGAAATTAAGGAGACTGGAGAGAGAGAGACAGAGAGAGTGAGAGAGAGGAAACAAGCCTAAAGGTTGAGGCCCTCTGGTTCATTTTGCTGGACATTAGGTTTTCTTATGGTTGGATTCATCTTCAGATGAACACAGTACAGTACAAGCTGATGCTATTCTTATTTTATTTTAATACAATGGTAAAAGTTGACCCGGATGTTTCAGAATTCTAAGTGATAAGAGTACATTAATAAGATTGGGAATGGAAGAGCTAAACTCACTGTGAGTGGATGAAACACAATCACAAAGATTTCATGATACATGCAGTCAAGATTAGCAAATGCCTCTAGGAAAATGAGTTATTGGGTGATATCAGAGTGGGCCATGTAAACTCCTAAGGTCTGGGATGTGTCTTGGTAATGGCTGTATCCTCACTGCCTAATACAATGCCTGCAAATGATTCTTTTTTGTTTAAACAAATTTGAAGACTTTGTATTTCTATTGTGTCAAAATTCTATTTTATATATTATCTCATTGGCTGTTAAAACATCTAACAGAAAGAACAGATGTTATTTCTATTTGATACGCCAGAAAAACTGGGGCACAGAGAGGTTAAATAAGATGCATAAAGTCACACAACTAATTAGAGACTTATGAAAGTGATTAAGATTATCCATGGTTTAACTTGTCTCTTCAGTTCTCCTTGAGCTTCTTTAATTGAAAGTTACTTGCAATATTTATTTCAGAGTGAAAGGAGGTAATAAAGATAAAGCATTGCTTTCTTTTCTTTCTGTTGTCATTCCTGGATTTGGGCTTGTTTTCCCCTCTGACAACACTTTGTCTTCCACACTTCTACCTAAATATGGGTTGACGTTGTTCCATACTCCATTTCTGTCTACCCTTCGGTATAACAGTATCATATTTAAGCCATAAAGAAGGTAGAGAATATGAGAAACAATTGGTATTCCAATAAGTAGCCAAGAAAGACTTGTGTATAATTGAAAAATACTTCAGTCTAATAAATCCAAAGAAATCATTCCTGAAACTGAACCCAGGCTGGCAAAGATCTAGACTATCATATAAAATTCTTTAGATCGAATGCCCTTTAGTCACATATCCTAATACAGAAGCAGAACTGGGAATATTAGCCCAAAAGAAGTGCCTGAGAAAGGCACAAAAGCCACATTAAATCCACATGGGGATTCTCCAAGGGCATCACTGACTTCTGTAATAGAAAAACAAATATATCAAATGGCCACAATGAAGACAAGATTAACCTGAGCAATGAAAGGTGTATGAACCTATCAGTTCCTGTAACACAGATTCAGAAATGATTGGGAAAACAAATGCTACAGAAACTCAACACAGACAGCCTCAGTCCAGAATTGAGACTCTAAGACGCCCCTCAAGGCATCAGAGACCCACTTCAGATAAAAACAGGCTCATATATCATAGTCTGGCCCAGGCAAGCTTGACAGTGGCCCTGACTCAGGCTTCACAGACATTTTTCCTGGGAGGGAGCATCAAGATCATACAGCAAAAACTATGCTGTGGAGAAATGACTAGTTTAACCCATTTTTATCTTTTAAAAAAAGCAAAAAATACACAATATTTGTATTGTAAATCTGTGTATTTTTGTTTGAATACAGAAAATATAACCCAGGTTGTTAATATTAATTACCCTGGGAATGGATTCTTCATTATGGAGTAACCTCCAGGATTAAAAGTGAGAAAGAGTAAATAAGAGGAAATGACGATTTCAAAAAATTTAAAGGAATAGAATGTGGCATAAAAAATACACTGCAAAATGCAACATTCTACCTCCTACTGTTGCTGTAAATATTTAAATATTGATTAAATGTATTGAAAATAACCAGAAGGTAACATAGTTGCTGTTTTGATTGATGGGATATAGGCAATGTTGGTCTTGGATTTCTGTTATTTTAGTGTTCTTTTGACTGCAAAGTTAAGATTTTAAAAGGTCATTAAACAGCATTGAGTGGTAGAAAAAAATTAGATATTTCAGCTCTTTCTTCTAGTGGCTAAGAATATTTAGGCAGAGTAGAGAAGATGAACTAAAAATAACTCACCATTGCCTTGCATATTCTACTCCAGATAGGCAGTTACTAGTTTGCAAGGACTTGGCAAGAAGGAGATAATGAACTAACTTTGATTCAATGTGCCCTGTGCTCCAAAGAAGAAATTTTAGCAGCCAGTATATGGGGAGTGACTTCTTACATATGGTGAGAGTGCAAGTAAGTTGCTCTAGAACATCTCCTCATGGTCACTAAGAGAAAGTTTACTGTACTGTAAATATTGGCAACTGCTTTTTATATATT